GGAGAGGCGGGGAGGTACCTGGCCAGGCGGTGGAACGGTTCGGTTCGAATGGGGGGGTGGGAAGAGGGGACGGACCTCCCACCTCTCGCCCCGGTTCGAACCAGAGGGAGGGGGAGATTCAGAGGCCCCCTTCCCCCGCGGGTTCGGGCCTGGGCGGGGGGGGGAACCGCAAGTCGGACCAATCCTAACTGGCTGGTGCGAAGTACAGCCGACCTGGCCACCTCTCAACCGGCCAGAAAACCAATTGGTACCAATTACAGCTGGCCGTCTTGGGCCTACAACAGGGTTCCTTTGTGCAGTATTTTAAGACGATCTAGACATCCAGTGATCGTCTAAAGGGTGCACATTCATTCTGGGAGTGAACATGAGTGTCCCGATACGAACAGGTACCAGTGTACTTTCTGGGATCTGGGAGCTTGGGAGCTGTGCTGTTTTGCAACAACACTTCGCAACAACATATTTCACTTCAAAGCAACAACATCTATCTAGCACAACAACATGTACTCACACCACATACCTACGCACCTTTCACAACAACACAGATCGAAAGCCCGATGTATCTTTTCTCAGAAATCCTTTCTGGGCATCCCCCAGAAATCCATCAGCAATCCCCCAGACATCCTTCAGAAATCCTTCGGCAATCCTATAGCAATCCTCTAGAAGTCCTCCAGAAACTTCAAGTTCTTCCAAGGAGGCCCATTAGAGGCTCCTCGGAGGAACTTGAATGAGCTGCTACGGAGATTCTCAGGAGTTGCGAAGGAGCCTCTAAGCAGGTTCTCAGGAGCTGCTACGGAGCCTCTAGAGGGCCTCTACGGAGCCTCTAAGGAGCTGCTAAGGAGCTTCCAAGGATCCTTTTCATAAGCTTCCAAGGGGCCTCTAAGGATCCTCGGAGGAGCATCTGGGGAGCTTCTAAGGAGCCTCTAACGAGCTTCAAACGAGCCTCTCAGGAGCCTCCAAAGAGCCTCTAAAGAAGGATTCTCTAATGAGCCTTTCAGGAGCCGAGCTTCTAAGTAGTAGTTGCAGTAGTAGTAGTAGTAGTAGTAGTAGTAGTAGTAGTAGTCGTAGTCGTAGTCGTAGTCGTAGTCGTAGTCGTAGTCGTAGTCGTAGTCGTAGTCGTAGTCGTAGTCGTAGTCGTAGTCGTAGTCGTAGTCGTAGTCGTAGTCGTAGTCGTAGTCGTAGTCGTAGTCGTAGTCGTAGTCGTCGTAGTAGTCGTAGTCGTAGTCGTAGTCAGTAGTCGTAGTCGTAGTCGTAGTCGTAGTCGTAGTCGTAGTCGTAGTAGTAGTAGTAGTAGTAGTAGAAGTAGTCGTAGTAGTAGTCGTAGTCGTA